AGCTACTGCTGCTGCTTCTGCTGCTGCTTGGTGGCTTTTGCTTGCTGCCGTTGCCGCTGCTGGTTACAGTTGTTGTTGTTGTTGTTGTTGTGGCTGTTGCTGCTGCTGCTGGTGCTGCGGCTGCGGTTGCTGGGATGGTTGTGTGGTGCCACGTCACGAAAGCTAGCTGTAGCTAGCCAGGAGTCTGTCTTGCTTTAGCAAGGAGGGTGGGAGCCGAGGACCTGAGTGCTGTTACCGGATATATCAAGACTGGACCCCCCCCCCTCCACCCTTCTCCTCCTCGGTACCCGCTGCTGCTGCTTGGTCGCTGCTGCTTGCTGCTTGCATGCTTGGTGCTGCTGGACGCTCTTGGCTGCTTGCTGGTTGCTGCTGCTTGCTGCTTGCATGCTTGCTGTTGCTGTTTGGGGTTGTTGGCTGCCGTTGGTGCTCAAGAAAGCCTATTCGTTAGAATCGAGAGTAGTTGCATTCCCTCTGATTCGTGAAACGATGCTAATTTCATTATAATATCCTTAAGAAGCTTGTACAGGCATGTACCCACCCCACAACCCCCAAGAGTACAAATCAGAATGCACTATCCGCTATCTATGCAGATCAAAAGATGATACTTACTACGCACATGAATGACAGAACCCAGTCAGATGTTTGAACGGGCTGTTTGCTTCACTCATGGTAGTCCGCGTTCCATGTTCGAGCGACAGGGAGCATGCACAAGCGTTGCGACGGAGTCTTCGGTCGCTGACACATGTTCGCATGCAACCCCTAGATGTCAATCATGCACACCGCTGCTGGCTGCATCGTCAGCATTTATTCGTGGAAAAACAGATATATCAGATATATCTGTCTTTCCACGTCGCCCTTCTACAATTACTCAGGCAGCACCTATATGTGCTATTGTTCGAGAACAAATGTTGGGGCGCGAAAGACTCTACGGAAAGCTCACTCTTTCCCTGCTGCTGCTGCTGCTGCTGCTGCTGCTGCTTGGTAGCTGGTGGTGCTGCTTGGTAGCTGCTGCTTGGTAGCTGCTGTTGATGCTGCTGCTTGGTAGCTGATGCTGCTGTTGCTTGGTAGCTGCTGCTGTTGCTTGGTAGCTGCTGCTGCTGCTGCTGCTGCTTGGTAGCTGCTCCTGCTGCTGCTGCTGCTTGGTAGCTGCTGCTTGGTAGCTGCTGCTGATGCTGCTGCCGCTTGGTTGCTGCTGCTGCTGCTGCTTGCTAGCTGATGCTGCTGTTGCTTGGTAGCTGCTGCTGCTGCTGCTGCTGCTTGGTAGATGCTGCTGCTGCTTGGTAGCTGGTGCTGCTGCTTGCTAGCTACTCCTGCTGCTGCTTCTGCTCTGCTTGCTGCCGCTGCCGTTGCTGGTTACAGCTCTTGTTGTTGTGGCTGCTGCGGTTGCTGGGGTGGTTGTGTGTTGCCATGTGTTGGCTGTGTTGGGGTCGTATTGGGGGGGCGCTGTTGGCGCTCTCCTTCTCCCTTGGCCATGGCATGTTGCGATTCCCGGCCAAGCGTCCGTCGTTTCTTCCCCTAGCTTTCGCCAGCCCCCTCTGGGCCACAAGTATATTTTCTAGATCTTGGATTTCGAAGATCTGGCCAGGTCCTGGAACTTGTATGTTTTTGTAAACTAGTATACCAGGACATGGTAGTGTATACTATTATTTGGTCAACCCTGTGGCTGACTGGACAGGATATGCTGCTGTGGGTGCTGAGGTCCATGGAGATGTACTTTCTTTCCAACTACTTGCAGAAAGGTGACCTGACAACGAGACAGATCTCAAGCGGTGGGGGCAACAAGGGAGTGGTGGACCTTTGGATGTTCAAAAAGGACATCGCGTCCCATATATTGTCCATTCGTTGGACGAGCATGTGGAGAATGCTGATACTCGGAAGGCTATCAGATTAGCGCTGCAGGACCATGCTTCGCACCGAAGTCTGTTTGGTTGGGCCATGGATGACAAGCAGCCTGATTTGACATGGAGCTGGAAAGAATCTGAGCGCCAAGCTCTTTTTCTGGCCGAGGCTGGGTCTAGTCACCAGGTGTTTTTTGGTGTTTGGTCACCAAGTTTTGTCATGAGGCATGAGGTAGTCCTGTTTTGTGTGATCCTTTGAAGTTGCCGTTGGACAGGGGTTGATTTTCAACAACGGGCATGATGGGGTCCTCAAACAAGCGCTCAAGAACCGGAAGACTGCTGCAAAAGCATTGGGATTGAAGAGTTGGTGAGGGCCAGTTGCTGTACATTGGTTTTGAAAGCCATGTTGAAAATTGAATTTATAGTTTTAATACCCACTGAGGAAGATGATGTTGATGTGTAAAGTTCGAACCTTTGGTCCCATTGTACATTGGCTGTCCCTTCCGGATATCAGCCGCACTTGCAGCCCTCTTCGTTGGGCAATCAGCTGCAATGTGGGACTGCCCCCGCGCTGAACAAAAGAAAGGCAATCCAATCCAAAAGGATCCCTGTGACTCCAAGGGTTACACACACACACTACACGCGCGCGCGCGCCTCCCGTTAAGGGAGGCGAGGAAAACTAAGGTTGCGACAAATGTGCGCGTGTGCGCGCAAAACAGACAAACAAATGACGACGTGAAAGGAGGACAAGACAGACCGTATGTATGTATGTATGTATGTATGTATGTATGTATGTATGTGGTTGCGATGAGAGGGAGCCCACATGCACAGGGACAAAAGATGAAACCCACCTCATTATCAGAACCTGGGCGACCTGAAACCTGGGCTTGAAAAGGATGTGAATGTGCGCGTGCGTACGAAAGAAGGGGTGAGATGACAAGACATGAAGACTGGAGACATGAAAGAAAAAAGGAAAAGAGAGGTGTGTGAAGGGGACAAAGATGAAAAGGGAACCAAATGGAGGGGACAGGGGCCGATGAAACCGAACCTCGTTAAAAACCTGGGCCACTGGGGAAAAGTCACGGATTAAAATTCTGACAAGAAGAGTCCAAGCATGGAGAGACCCGCGTAATTGACAGCGGTGCGCCTTAAGCTGCTTGGCTGTCAAGGTATCCCGCAGCGCCAACAGCACCAAATACCTCGAGGCCACGCAAGTTGCCAACAGCACGGGCACACGCACCAACACGCGCTGCGCATCTTTTTGGGCGGTGTGCGCAGCTCTGCGCGGTATGAGCTAGCGAGCTTTGGTGTGAAGGGTTTGGGCGTGTGGATTAGGGTTTCGGGCTGGTGGGCTGGGCTTGATGTTTGCGGATTAGGGCTTTGGGTTTGTGGATTAGGGGCCTTAGATCTGTGGATTTGGGCTTAATGATTGTGGATTCGGGTTTCGGTCTTGTGGATTAGGGTTGAACCCTAATCCACAAGACCGATCCATAATCATTAAGCCCAATCCACAGACCGAAAGCCGCTAATCGTGGACGAGGGAGGGAGGGGTACAGAAGAGGAAGGAGACAGGTGTTCCCAGCTCCAGGCACACCAGGGAGAGGGGTGTACCTGAGCGTTACATTCAGGAACACATCAAGAAGCAAAGGAAGAGAGGGGAGGGAAAGGGGAGGAAAAGGATTAAGGTCTCGACAGGTTCCACTGGTGGCTTCGGCCGCTGCGGCCACGTACGCCGCGCCAAAATGGCTGGCTGCGGTCACCTAATGGCTTGTCCGAGGACTGCCTGCTTGGAATGCAATAATCCAGCAAGTCTTGGCAAATAACTTTGGTGTAAGCCGAGCTAAGCCTGGAGGCGGGGGCGGCTGGCCACTCATGGTCAGAGTAGACTGTGTCATTGCAGCAATCAATTTGTCAGGCTCGAATGGTTCCCTCCCTCCCTCCTTCCCTCCCTCTTCTTGTCTAGCTGCTCCTGACTTGGCAACCTTGGAGATCTCCTTTCTCCTCCTGTTCAGGGCCTTCGGCGCTCAACGGAGTTTGTCACGGTCAAATCTTGTACCGTGTGTTGTGCCCCTTATACTTATACCCTTCCTTGCTCCTGTTCTTGCCTGTGCAGACGAGGAGGCAGCTTATGAAGACAAGGATCCTGACCCGCCACCAATTGGGAGACGTTTGCGCCGCAGCTTGTCTCTCGCATGACACATTTCCATAATCCACATAGCCGCATAGCTTGTATATTCTTTTGTCGTCCCTGTCCTCTCCATGACATTCTGCATGACATTCTGCTAGTTCTCAGTCTACAGGCAACGCAAAGACAAGATAGATCTATGGTCTATCTAAGATTTGACCTCAAATCGGACACGGCACCTTCAAACTATGCTGATCGGTCTTCTTTTGGACCCTCGATCAGCTCTCGCAAAAGCGAGAACCCTACTTGGCGAAGTAAGTCCGCTTAGCCAAAGAGGCAAAATTTGGTGCGCCTCAGGAGCACTGCCAGCTAGAATCATAAAGGTTTGAGCTCAAGAAGGTCAACTGCAACAGGTCGCAGGCATATACATTGATCCCACAGACAAAGCAACAGTCAGCAATGACAGTCATATTTTAAACGCACTGAGTATTGAGGTCCCTTTGTTATGTTTCAACAAATGGTAAAAAGTCAGAGGCGCCCTTGTCTCATATATGACACAGGAAACTGTGTCGCGTACATGCTTCCAAACATATTCCACGACACCTTTTGCCGAGTTCCTGTTTGGGTGCTTTGTATGAGCCGTGTGCTGCTCTAACCTGGAACCTGATTCCTTGTCCGCGCGACTTGGCCGAACTATGGCAGGGAAACCTTTTATCCTGACCATGGGCAGCTCGGGCGTAGGAAAATCATCCTTGCTCAATGCTCTGGTGGCTGACCAAGAAGCCTTTGATGTCTCAAAAGACGCAAAGGCAGGAAAGAAACATCCGAAAGTGGTGGAAAAAGATCACGTGAAAGTCATGGACTCTGGAGGTTTCGCTGATCCTGATGGTCAAGACATCGACATAGGGGTCATGCTGTACGAACAGTTCAAAAGACATGGTGCTCCATCAACCATTCTTGTGTGCTCAGCAGGTGTTCGCCATGATGAAGTATGCCAGAGGGTCGTGTGCTTCTTGCACCGCGTTTTTGGCGATCAGGCACTCAGCCGTATCATTTTTGTACTGACGCAACACCCCCTCGACGACAAAAGCTTGAAGATGCATGAAAAGGAGGCAGGTAGAGAGGTCCCAAAGCAGCCGGATGACGAATGGAGAACCGCGATTGTTCAAAGGTGGAGAGAGGAGCTTTCTACAGGTCTCAACGAACAAATGAAGAAACACAAATGGCTTGGTGGTATGGCCGCAGTGCCCGTGTTCATCTTGGATAGTCATGCAAAGCTTTTTGATGACGTTGCTGATGATAGTGAAGTCAACGTATTTGATGAACAGGTGAAACTCATGCTAGAGCTCAGTACCAAAAAACCCTTGAGCGTGTTGGAGATCCTGGACAAAAAGCTCAGGGATTTCTTGGAGGTTGGGGTCCCCCAGTTGGTTTCAGACCTCTTGCAGCAGGCAGACAAGAGTGAAGAGGGGCAGCAAAGTTGGTTCCTGCAGGCTTCATACATAAATTGTTTGCTGTCACAGCTTGATGACCCCGAGAAAGGTCTCGAGAAAACATTATGCAAGAAGCTAGGAGCTATAGTGGTGCAAGAGATCAAGGATGACATGAAAAGGCACGGTATCACAGAAAGCGGAGTAAAGAAGATACAAATGAAAGGGTTGTGCAAGACGGGCGACGGGATCACCTTTGGAGTGCTTTTTGGTTCAATAGCGTTTGGCGTCGCAATCCCATTGATTGGTATCGCCATGCTGGTCCAGTCCTTGGTCCACTCGTTGAATTGGAGTCGTCAACGCACCATTGCAGACCTGCAGACACACATTTGCAAAAGTCTTAAAGAAGAAGGGAACAAACACCTACATGATGCCGCCATGAGACATTTTTTCGACTACAGCACGGCTGCTGCAAATTGGGACACTCACCTGAAGGCGCTGAGCAACTCTAGCTAGAGCAGCAGCGTCATTCGTGGGAGTCTTATTCACAACGCTCCGTGCTGTTCAGCTTTTGGGCTGCACGGTGCTGCATGCTGTCCATTAAAATCACTGCATTCAAGGCAATTCCCTCAAGGGGATTCTAAAGTGCTGAGGCAAGGCAAACAGCTTCAGCTCTTTTTTGAGCAGAGTGTATCGCTGCAAGTTTTTGGACACGCACCTTGAAGTGAGATGTGTTGAGCATATTTCAACTTGCATATTTCTCACCTGTTGGGAAAAAGGTGTTTGCGTGTCCACCTCGTGCTTGGTGCTCGCTGCAGCATGTCTTGGCAGATTTTGTCCTTGAGAGCAAAAAAGGAGGGCGCACTTGAGACTTGTGTGTAGAATCATGTCCTGAAGCATGACCTGGCAGAAGCGTTGGCTCCTTTTGTGTCTTTGTTGGCAGTTGCTAGGTTGCAAGGCGTTTAGGTTTTTAGTAGCCATGAGTGAGCGCTTGTCGATGGCCGGAAACGCACAGAGTGCTCCCTCCCAGGAACTGATCCAGTTTCTCAAAGAAAAGAAATTGGAGAAGTACGCTGCCAGCATTTGCATTGACCAGAGCATTTGCGAAAGTCATGCGAGCGGATGCAGTCAGTTGACTGCCTTGCTTGATATGGACTTTGTAAGTGTTGCAAAACTGTCCAAGCGTTGCGGCATTTCGGTTGATGACCAAAGACAACTTTGGGAGCTTGTCAGACAGCGAAGGCAACCTCCTTCCATTGGAGCTAAACTCGCGCAAGAACTGTTGTCCACTGCAGAGGAAAAGGAGGGCTTTACATTGGTTTCCTTACCCTTTGAAGAGAAAGAACACTGCAGCCTGGCTTACTGTCAAGCTATGGCCGGGAGGAACCTGCCATCGTGACCACGAATTAAAGCTAGTGTTAGGTTTCACACACGGTGATGGTCCATTCAACTAGTAGACAAGCCTTACATGTCTCCAAACTCTGATAAACTCACCGCAGGCTTGTTGTTTTATATACTTTCCTGTTGCTTTTAAAGCTGAGGTCTGCATTTCAATTGCCAAGAGATGACTGGTGGCGTGTATCCGTGGAGCTTGCGGGCTTTCAATGCACAGATTCCAAGCCAATACCAGGATGAAGATGCAAGCACACATATTCGACTATTGGTAGTGGGACAGACAAGTGCCGGCAATGCGGCCCAGATTAACGGCATCCTGAACTATTTCCTTGGCATGGAATGGCATGACTGCATCCGCTTCCAAGTTGGGAGGCAAGAAGCAGGACTAACTTAGGCAAGTTTGTTTGAACATGTTGCATCTTCCATTGCACGCTATCAGTTGTAGCAGCTCCAGGTTTCACCCCGCAAGGGTTGTTAAGCGGGGATCACTCGGCGCACATATAGAGGGTGGGGTTGGTTTGCATGTGTTAGCAAGTTCACAAATCAACAGGGAAGTGCGTATCAACAATCGCAGGAGTCGCAGACACAGTCGACGTGTTCATGCTTCCTGCCATTAAAGGAGCACCAGTGAAATGCAAGTTGACTCTCATTCAGGCCCCTGCTTTGGGGGAGAGTCACGGTTTGCCCTTTGATTCTGCCGTCCTGGACAAAATCAAAGGCTTCTTTCGGGAGTTTCCACAATATGTTGAGTCGCTATCTGGTCTATGCTGTGTGCCAAGTGATTCCGCAGATTTGTTGGACATTTGGTGTCCCATTCTGGGCCTGTTCGGGAATGATACTCAGCTGTCATTCATGCTTGAGAACACTCAAGAGACAGCGGTAGGCTATCCAAGAGGTGCAACGATCTTTAACGACATGTCTTCCCTCACCGAGCCCAGGGACCAAAATTACGCCGGGCAGCGGTGCTGGATAGAAGATCGGAAAAGCATGGAGACGCTCTTCCAATCTCTTGTTGCCTTTGACCCAGTTCTTCCAAACCCAATCAACGAGATCATGGAGCGGCGAGAGCAGTTGGAAGGCACGTTGGAAGAGTTGGGTCAGCGCATCAAAGTGCTTCAGGAGCGCACGAGCAGGATTCAAAACTGGGATGGAGAAACAGAGGGTGACCACGAGACAACACTGGACGGTTTGCAGGTTGATGTAAGCACAGAGTGCCTTGCTGTTTTGAATCTTCAAGAACAGGTCAGGATTTGCAACAATCGCCTTGAAGATATTGCTATGTATCCCAGCGCCATGCCTCGGGAAGACTATCTTGAGAAGGTGATTCAGCATATGAACCCAGGCCTTGAATGCCAGGACAAGGTTGACTCCCTGGAAAAACTGAAGAGAACGATCGAATTGCTACGAGATGCAGCGATGCCTGACTATTTGTCGATCTTGTTGAAAGACTTTAACCAGCAAGATACTGTTAGAGCTCACCGGAACAGGCGTTTCTTCTACTCGTACTGACCTGGCGATTCCAACTGGATTCACGCAGCCATCTTAGACAGCCTCGAATCACTAAGACTTTACCGAAGTTCCGAAGAGCAGAGTTTTTGATAGAAGCCCGAAAAATTGCGGTGAAGGTCGGGATGGGAGGGCTAAGGCGGCTACCAATACAAGTAGCACAGCTGGAACAGACGCGCCCTTGGTGCGGAAGCTTAAAGGATGTGGACGGACCAGCTGAGGTGTTGGTGACTGTTCTTTTCTATGTTGAGTGAAGTGCTCGTGTGGATGATGTCGAGGGAATGCTGGCAGATTTGCAAAGCCAAGTTAAATCCAGAACAGTAGCAGTAGGTAAAAAATATGGGTAGGCAAACTAAGGCGCTTCAAGAAAGAGCAAGGAGGCTTTGAAACTGGCCCTTTGATGATTTACAAGCAAGTTCAGTCGCAGTCATCCTTGGTCTTTATTGGAGCACGCCAGAATAGAATAGACCAGGTTTTGCAACCAAGGCCAGGTGGAACTTGCATTGTATTATAGATTTTGCAGACAGATACTTTATTCGGCAATGCTGTACTTAGAACATAAGCACGCCATGAAGCCATCGAGGGTCAAATCTACCGACCCGACCTTTTTCCGCCATGTTTGATTTTCCCCTGGTCGACGTGCTGTCTTTCAAGACCCTGTTGCCAGATGCAAGCGAGAAGATGACAGCCGTCCTGGAGATAGATCCGCAGACTTATAAAGTTGTGAAGGATCGTGTTGAATATCAAACGCGCCCAAATTCAATTCCCTCGCAGAATTGAAGATTGACCCTCTCCCAGACGGGGTGACTCTCGATATCGGCTTTGTTCAGACGGTGACGGGGCGAGACTTGAAGTATGACTATGGTCATGGGAGATATTTGGATTGGAAGATTCCTGCTGAGCTTTTCCAGCAAAACCAAAGAGGCTTCTCACGCTTATCCCTTCTACAAGGACTACAAGAAAGGTGCTGTGGAAAGAGTCTCGCGGACAGGCGGGACCGTAAAAATCGCAATGGATGACTTCTTGGGCAGTGCAGGTTGGAATTGGAGAAGTGAAAGCAGCTGCACTTTGTCGGGCATTCGCAGAGATCAGTCCTTCAAGAGGGGAGACCATGTTGTTCATGAGGTTCTGCAAGAGCTCGACTGGGAGGCAAGCCTGAGGATCGACATTGACCCGAGCAAGAAAGAAGCAGGGACTTCTGATTGCGTTTTCCGGCAAACAGACCCTTGTGTTCCCGATGACAGGTGGCTTCACCCTCATTGCACAGATGGTTCAAAAACCGCGAACGAGTTGGACAAGAAGCTATAAAACAATTCTGTTGATACATTCGATTCTTGTCAGGAAACAAACACCATTTGTTGTGTGTGAAGATTCTGATGGCTACTATTTGTGTAGAACAACTCGCCGTTGGGTTATTTCTATGTTGACCAGACTTATGCAGCCTTGTGTTCTAAGCGTTTATACAGCTACTAGTCACAGTCAAGGGCATCGTGCCAAAAGAAGTTCCAAGGAGGTGTCATCAGTTAAAGAAAGATCAACCTCAATGGAATGATATGACATGGTCCAGATTTGAGCGTGGGTTTGCCTTTTGTGACATCAGCCTTGCTATGACATATTATTTGGTTCACTTTCCGCGTTCGTTGGCCTTTGTTTCTCAAACTTGCTGAGAGTAAAGATGCAGGACTCAACCTCCAGTATTTGTATTCACAACTTTGCAACAAGGACATCATCTCAGAAGAGCATGCATTCAAGAGAGTGGTGCCTGATTGTGTACACAAACGTTTGTTTGGTGGGTTCAAATCCTGCTCCTCAAGGGGTGTCCACGATCGCAATCTTTTTTGTTTGATGTTTACCTCTTGAAGGGCTTACTCTTGTTTGCCAAAGACTGAGGAAAGTGGCGAGATGGTGCTAGAGGTGAGGTTCGACAAGCAGCGAAAGGAGGGACAAACAGATGCGCTTTTCTTAGTCTTTTTGTTCTAGGATGGGCTGTATGACGTCCTCGAGGATTTGCCAGAATTTGGGAACCAGGCCTCACTTCAATTACATAATTACTGTATATAATGGTTTATGACTTTTGGCGGTGTGTTCCCAGTCTTTGCTCTTTCGCTCAGGGATTCACATCAATGTTTGTATGAACCTGAATTGATCTGAACAAGGTATAGGACTCCATTTGTGTGAGTAAATCTCTGATGTTGGCCCTTGCACAGGCTTGCTGTGGCTCTTTTCCTATGCTCCTGCTTGCTATTACACCGGTCTAAGCCGGTTTGCGTGCGTTGTTTTGCTAAGGCTGCTGAGGGGTACCTGCTCGCGCCCGCGCAGGAAAAAGGGAAACAAGAAAAACCTTGTTCTTTTTCCCCAGATAGCGAAGCTATGGGGTTCTTACTTCAAATAACAATGAGTTGCCCGTGCGCGCTTTCGAGACAGGTTGCTGGTGCTGGGTGCCGGTGCTGGTGCTGGTGCTGTGAGCTGGCTGTGCACGTGGTGGAGACAGGTTGCTGGTGCTGGTGCTGTGTGCGCCGGGTGCCGGTGCTGGTGCTGGTGCTGTGAGCTGGCTGTGCAC